CCCACTTAGGGGTGTCTCAGGCTGGGACTGGGAACTCAATGGGATGCCTTAGGCATGGGATTTTGGGACAAGTGATAAAACGAAATAAGGGACACTTCAGACCTACTCATGGCAGCCATGGGGGTGATAAAGAATGAAACAGTCTGATTCTACTTGAAGATGGTTCTCATCATTGCTGCTCTTGGCCCCTTGGAGCTGCCCATTCTCCAGATAATTCTGTAGGCCATGAACATCCTTCCATGGAATGTCCTTTCTGCCCCGACAGACTCAGAGAGTAGGTCCTGACTACGTAGGCTTTGAGCATTTCTAGTCCCTCTAATAGTTGCTTTGGATATTAAATTTAAAAAGCAATTTCTGAATGAGATTCAGGTTATTTTGTCAGCTCCCGAATTCAGGACAATGAAAACTGTCTGTGTAAATTATTAAATGGGCACTGGAGCATCTTACTACTGCCAGCTGGACTCTCAGAGCCCACTTTCCTGTAGCCAGGGAAGGGGTCCACAATATGCCACAGTGGCCTAAGGATTATTAAGAGCTGAAGACACTGGAGAATCAAGTTTGCTTTTTCTGAACTCCCCTTATCTGCCTAAAAGTAGAGCCTCCTGAAGGAATTCAACTCTCATCAAAACCACGAGATACCACTTTACAACCAGAGAAGAAGGACTCCTATGGCCAGAGACCAGAAGTAAACACCAGGATATGAAATCGTCTAAAGAGACATTGTCACAAAATGATCACATCTCCTATCCACTCTCCTAAGGCGCTGTTTATTTTTCATAAAAGTCACCTTTTCCCCCCATAAATGCCTTTTCTCCCCTTCCTCTTCCCGTTAAAATGGTATATAAGCCCCAAATTCTAACCACCCATTGAGCCACATAAAAATTTCTTTTCCCCTGTTAATCAGTCCGTTACCATTTAATCTGCAGGCCCCCAATTACTCATTCTAAGTGGGTGAAGGCAAAGTTTTCCTCTGTGACACCACTCATGCGATGTCACACATCAATTTTTCTTCCTTTCTCACTAAACAACAATCTCCCTGCTTCTAAGATGCGTGCTCATACTCTTCTGAACATGCCCAGAACCATTTAAATGATAAAAGAATGGATCTAGCTTAGATTTGTACAAAGGGAAGAATAAGTACTTTTCCCTGGGCCTCACTGGTTCCTCACTTACGGACGCTGGAGGAGAGTTAGGATAATGCCTGAAACATACTTTGAGCATAGAAAATTCAGGTTGAAAAGGATCTGAAAGGCTGTCCAGTTTAACCGCCTATTTGATATTTGTATCTGCTCAGGGACAGCCTGAAGACTGGGTGTTCTGCTCGCGCTCAGGCACCCCCAGAGACAGCATAAATGACCGTAAGGCACCCTACTGTGCTCTGAGACGACTTGCATTCGGAGATTTCTTCTTTAAACAGAGCCTAAACCTTTCTGCTGGCATTCTCACCCATCACTCTTTGTCCAGTTGGCCCTCCAGGCGTCTTATAGAATACACAGGCCTGATACTTCTCCCCAGGCTACACCGTTATCCAGTTTTATCTATTATCAAGCTTTTCTAGGCTAAATGTTCTTGGTTTCTTCAGTCATTTTTCATGTCACTTGGGTTTCTAATCCTAAAATTCATATGAACAATTTTAGAAAAGTGGAGTAAGTAGCAGGGACTTGCCCTACTAGATATCAAGGCTCTTTTATAAAGCTATAGTCATTTGGAATTTTAGGATTATATTCTCTAATTCCATTTAAAACAACCCTGCTGCCATTTTAATCAGACTTCCATTAAATATATAACTGATTTGGGAATTGACGTCAACTTGATAATACAGCATTTACTGCTATTTGTCCAGGGTTTTTATTTTATTAAAAATTTTTTTTCTTTTAAATATATCTTTATTGGTTTCAGAGAGAGGAAGGAAGAGGGAGAGAGAAACATCAATGATGAGAGAGTCACTGATTCGCTGCCTCCTGCATGCCCCCGACTGGGGATCGAACCATGATCTCCTGGATCCTAGGTCGATGCTCAACTGNAGAGAGAAACATCAATGATGAGAGAGTCACTGATTCGCTGCCTCCTGCATGCCCCCGACTGGGGATCGAACCATGATCTCCTGGATCCTAGGCCATGCTGAACCGCTGAGCCACGCCCGGCCAGGCTGTCCAGGGTTTTTAAAATGTTGTCCTCTACCATTTTATATTTTTCTCCGGAAAGATTTTGTGTGTCCTGTAAATTTGTTAGTGGGTATCTTCAATTTTCTTTTTCTATTGCAAACAGAATTTAAAAAATTTGTATTTTCCACTTATTGCTCCTGCTGTATAATAATACTGCTAGTGATTTTTGTATGTGGATTTTATACCCAATGATCTTGTTGAATTCTCATACTGATGTTAACAGTCAAGGATAAATCTGATCAAGTCATGACTTATTATTACACTCTGAGGTATTTGATTTGCCAATGTTTTACGGAGAATTTTCACATCTATGTTCTTAACTGAGATGGGTTTGTAAGTTTCCTTTCTGTACTGTTACTGTTCAGTTTTGCTGTCAAGGTTCAAGAGCCAGGCAACATTCACTACCTTCCCAGAAGTCACCAGCCTCTTCCTCCCCTTCCTCAGCAGCAGATCATTCCTCTCTAGAACATCTTCCTCTTTTTATTGGGAAGAAAAATTTAAATGAATCAACATCTCCCTTCTCTTCCTAAACAACATTAGCAGCTTAGAGTGTTTGTACTATAATTACTACCCTCTCATCTTCTGCTATTGCTATTATTTAAATTCCATGAATATACCCCCAATTGCTCATTATTAATATTTTAAAACATTCTATGCTTATTCAGATTTGCCCAGAAGTTTACCAACTTCTTATTATTACTTCTTGGATTCAATTTCCTTTTCCTTCAAGTACATCCTTTAGTAGTTCTTTCAGTATGAGTCTCTGTAACCTCTTTGTCTTTCATTGTCAAAAGCAATTTTTATGCACGATTCTCAGTTCCAACTTCCCATCTGCATGGGCCAAGGCCACATACCTTGTCCCCTTATAGGTGTGGCACCTTCTAGATGTGAGGCCTATACTCAGTTCTGACAGCCACCGGCTTCCTTAGCATTAGCTCATCTACTTTCCGTTCTGGTTTGAATTTCCTCTTTATTTCTTGTACCTGAGGATTTCCCTTTCTTTGTTTGGAACTCTGCTTTATATTGTTATATTTCATCCTGTGTTTGCCATACGAGGTGGTGGTGGTGGGGGGAAGATCCACATTAATCTTTCCAGTTCCTATTCCTGGAAATCTAGATATTCTATTTATAACAAATTTCCCTCTTACTGCTGTTTATTACTTGCCTTTAAAATAAATACCATATATTTTTATAGAGAAAACAGACATGACAGAGACAGCTAGGCACTTCTTGTTCTGTTTCAGAAAAAGTTATAAAGTTTTCTAAAATTTTTTCTTGAATTTGGTAAATAGAGAACATTCCCCAGGCAATAACTTGGGAAAAGTCAATCGGCTGCCAAGAAATGAAATTTTCCCTAGGTCTGTACCTATTTTTCTCACATCTCCCTCGCTTCTCTTTGCTCTACAGAGATGATCCCGGCTCAGTATTTGAATTATATCGTCCGCACTAACAAGCCAAAGCCGTATGTTGAGAAAACCTGTCTTTGTAAGGAAGCCATCCCCAGGCAAGACCTGGAACTCAGCTATTCCTGCAAATCAACAGCTGGCTGGAGGCTGCACTGGTTCTAAGCCCTGGGAATTCACAGCTCCAAGTAGACAAACAGGATCAATCTAATTTGCATTTCATCGTGACTCAGGAAATCCCTGGTACTCCACCCCTGGGCAGATTAAAATGTGTTGGTTTAATAAGCCCAAGGCCTTTACTGTCAGGATCTCGGCCTGAGAGATTTCCACACACTTATTGGCAGGACCCAAACTCTCCATCAAGAAAGAAGAGTCAACTTCAGCCTGTCAGAGGGTGGAGGCCACATGAGAATGGCGGAATCCCAATCTGGCTCGACTCAGAACTGTCTGACCACGGTCAAAGCATGGAGAATGGGTCAGGGAATAAACTGGGGGCACTGTCCAGCTATTGCGTCCAAAATGCTTTCTGAATAATCACATATGGGCTGACTGGAGAGGCTGTACGTGGGGATAAAGAGTATTCATGGAAATGATAGCAAAGCCCAGGCTAATCACACACTAGTTCTAGTCGACAGTTGCTTTCAATACAATATATTCCATATGGCATGTGACTGCAAATTTCTGACTCAGAAAAGGAGAGGAAAGAAAGGGGCTGGAACGGAGGTGTAGAATGGGGAGAAGATCAAACAAGCACCAATAATCAATTATGCCACGAGTGATAAGAAAATAGCAAGAGATTAAGGTCTGTATTTTGCAAAGCGGAAATGGCAGTCCTGATTAGTGCTGCTTTGTCATCCTCAAATCTTTACCCTTCCAACGCAGAGGTGACTACCTCCACAGTGGGAAGGAGGGGTCCACCTGAAAAACAAAACCACCTTAGCACTGCACATCATACTTTGGTCACAGGTAACTGTTCGTGTTGTCAGTTCCCTTTGCAGACACCTGAGTGATCATCTGGCAGAAAGGGGAAATCTTACCAAGTCAAGACCCCAATGGCACGCTGCCATCTTCAACACTTCTGCACCTTGCAGGCAATGCTACCTTCTCCTACTACCCCTGAACCAAAGGAGAAGACAAAGTCCTTTAATCCTTAAGATCAGATTTCATCTTAACTTGTCACTCAGGGGGTGGGAGAGGTGAGAGGAAAGCTCCTCTTAATGAAATGCAGTTGAGGACTATTCTGCAGTACACGGGTATTCTGCTGTTGGAAGCAACTAGACTGGTGGATGCAGAGGGTAGAGGTGATGATTTTCCAAGTCACCTTTTTTAACCCAGACCCAGCCTTTACCTCAGTGGTGCTGTGGGGCCAGGTGGGAGGGGCTCCCATGTGGTGAGAGAGCCCACAGGCTGGATGCAAGCTGCCACCACTCACCTGTTGAGATACACACGCTTCTCGGTGAACTGCCCATTGCCATGGTGAGGGTCCTCGAAGGGCTCATTTTGGACGACCTCCACCCCTTCCCCTCGGTCGCTCTGTTCGTGGCTGTGCTTGCTGATCATGTACAGCTGTCCGATTTTGTACTGCAAAACACAGAGATGGAGGTCAGCCCCACTGCTCACCTTTGAAAATACACACACACACCCGCCATCGACGGTGCCACAAATGACTAACATCAACACTTTCTGCTCAGGGAAGAGAGCAGGGAAGAGAGAAAAGGCCTGGTGTTCCTTTTCCTTGTGAGTGAGGACTGCAAGTTGTGAGCAGAATGTAGAAACAATGTGTTCCTGTGAACATTTTGCATCGCCTTGAGGTTGGCAGCCCACCAGCCCATGGAGTGGCAACAGGGAGTTTCCCTTCCCACTCTGGTCCTACAGGGTTAAGTGGAGCTAAAGTCCTATTTTTCTCAGCAAAACACAGGCCAGGATGTGCTCTCTCTGTCCCTTCTTTCTGCCTAATTAACTGTATTGCTGGGCACAAGAGGATTAGATGTCACCTGTCTCTTCCATCACCTCCAGCAAAGTGTTCAAACTCTCCTGGAGGGCTCTGTCCCCTGAAAAGGCAGATTTCAAAGGTGGCTGGATGTCAGAATCACCTGGAAGCTTTTTAAAACCGCCAGATGCCCAGCCCCCAACCCCAGAATGAAACCTGTGTTCTAAAGGCTGATCTCCAATGAGGAAAATTACAGTATCTTTAACTGCTTTTGTCCAATTCCATCAACAGTGTGGAGCCTTCCAGCCTGGGGTCTCAGAAGCCATGTGCGCTTCCAGGAAAATGATGATATGGAAAAACACAGAACATGAACAGTTTCTGTCCTGGCTTCATTTTCAAGCTGCTCCTCTCTTCTCCCTGCCTCTCTGAAAACCCTGGGGCCGGCAGGCATTTCTCCACCCAGCGAACTTTCAAGGTGGCAAAACTCATTTAATGGAGAAAAAACAGATAGAGAGGAAGTAGGGAAGAGTCAGGAGGCAGGACAATGCCACTTGCTGTGGTCCTTCCCACAGCACACACAGTGTCCTCATCATCAAGGGCCCTGGGATGGGATGGGATGGGATGGGATGGGATGGGATGGGATGGGATGGGATGGGATGGGGGAAAGGGTCCTGTGTCTACAGCAAACTAGTGACAGTTCTGGGTTGCTCCCAAAAGAGCCGAGACCAGCAAGGACGCATGAGAGAGAGAGATTATAAATTAAGGAGGCAGGTGAAATGCACAAGTCAACAGTGCAACTGATTCCCAAGCTGAGAGGACACACACGTCAGAGATTCCACTTTCACTCCGAGACAGGTGCAGGGAGGGGAGTGTGAAGAGAATCTGAAAGGCCCTGGTCTGAGGCCAGCCCGAGGGACCAGGGCCAGTAACCATGACGACGAGAGCAGAGGGTGGCTGGGTCTTCTCAAAGGGCAGTGCTTCCCTATCTGTGCCACGCCCTTCCCTAGGATGGTTGGCATTTAAAATGCCCTTTAAAAAAAATTTTTAGTGAATTTATTGGGGTGGCATTGGTTAATAAAATTACATAGGTTTCAAGCGTACAATTCTGTAATATAGCATCTGTCTATTGTATTGTGTGTTCACCACCCAAGTCAAGTCTCCTTCCATCACCATTTACCCGCCTTTATCCTCTCCTATTAACATACTTTTAACACAAGTGTGTGTGTGTGTTTGGGAGGAGGGAGAGCTCCGAGGATAAGAGCAGGAAGAGGAAAGAGGAAAATCAAAGGTAAAATCTATTTTTAAAACAATTTCTGGAATCAGAAACATGACTTGGCTTTCCCTTAATAAGTTCTTACTCTTATTTTTGCTCACAAAGACTAACACTCTTTCAAGGAGGAAGACAGTAAGAAAAAGCTTATGGATTAAGATCTGTGCGCTATACCCATGAGATCAACAGTCCACCGTGTGCAGAGGGGCACACGAACCTCTAACACAATCCTCAGCTGCCCAGAGAGTGAAGCCTTCACTGGCAGTTGCTTTGTACTTGGTGTTCAAAAGAATAAGTATTTACCAACAATGAAATATTATTCAGCTATAAAAAGGAAAACAGCGCCGATACAGTGCTGCTTAATGGGTGTTATGGGTTGAATTGTTTCCCAAAATTCCTATGTTGAAGTCCCAGTAACTCAGAATGTCTTTCCAGAAGTGATCAAGTTAAAATGAGGACATCAGAGGAGGCACGAATCCAAATGGACTCGTGTCCTTATACAAGGAGGTAAGTTGAACACAGACCACAGAAAGAAGAGTAGGAGAATTGATGCAGGGAGAAGACGGCCGCCTGCAAGGCAAGGACAGACCTGGAACAGATCCTCCCCTCACTGCCTTCGGAAGGAACCCACCCCGCCTGCTGACACCTTGATCTTGGACTTCCAGCATCCACAACTGTGAGGCCACACGATTCCGGTTGTCGAAGCCACCCTGTGTGTGCTGCTTTGTTACAGCAGCCCTCGATAACTAACACAGTGGGTACAGGATGGGGTTCCTTTTAGGGTGATGAAAGTGTTTTGGATATGGAGAGAGGTGGTGATTGCACAACATTGTTATAGGCTAGATGCCACTGAATTGACTTTAAAAATGATTAATTTTATGTTATGTGATTTTCACCTCAATTTTTTAAAAAGTGTTATTCTGCTTCTGAAGCCATTACCTCTAAACCAAAATTCTGTCAAGGGCTTTAGTGGGGGATTTGGCAGAAGGGACAAGTCTACCACTGGATGGTCTTTGGTAGCTCCAACCACCCACATATGAAAAATATAGGGGATCAAGGACAATGCATGACAAAGAAAAGCCATTAGCCATACACAAGTCAGCCTGACTCTGTTCAGCTCAAGTGCTTCCTGCCCTGTGAAGGGACCGGGCCGAGGCAGCTGGCAGCTGATTCACCTGCACTAAGAGGAGGGCCGGGCTGCCCAGCCTCATTGATCATTCCCAGGGCTCCTGAATGAGCTAGTGCAGGGCAGACATCAGTCTTAGCTCACTAAGATAACGTCAGTCTGGGAGCAACCGACTGACGTTGGACGCAGAGATGTAGGTGACATTGTGGTGGCTGGGGGGACACTCAAGCCCACAAAATGAGATGGTCAAGGGCTCTGCAGCGGTCACTTCCTTCCTTCCCAAATGAATCAGGTCTGCTCGGCTGGTTGTGGACATTGGAGCTGGGCCATGCAGAGGGAAAGGTTTTGTTGTTTATAAACCACAAATTGACTCACAGACACATGCATTTCTCAGTTAGGAGGAGAGAGCAAGTCAGATGGGCCTTGAATCATCTGCCTAAAAATCACCAGACACACTCCTAAAAATGCTGAATCCCAGGCCATTCCAGTCCTTTTACATTCAGACTCTGGGGGACAGGGAAGTTGGGAATCTCACTCAAATGCACACTAAATGAAGAGAACCACTGGGTCAGAGAGAGGTGACAGCACTCACTAGGACTTGCTCAGTACAAAAAGGTGACCAGGTCAAAATGTTCCACCTTTAGGAGGCCTGTTTCTTCTTTGATACTCATTTTTTGCAAAGTTCCATCCGTAGTTCAATGAAAATAGCATATCCCTGATCACCAACTGCAAACAAAGTCATACATCAAATGAACACAGCCAAATCCCAAGACTCAGGACTCCGAAGACTTTAAAGCCAGACACTTGATGGTGATGATGGTGGTGATGATGATGGTGATGATGGTGATGGTGATGGTAGTGGTGATGATGGTGATGATGGTGGTGATGGTGATGGTGGTGATGGTGATGATGGTGTGATGGTGGTGGTGATAGTGATGGTGGTGATGGTGATGATGGTGTGATGGTGGTGATGGTGATGATGATAGTGATGGTGGTGATGACAGGGGGGGTGAGAGAACATAGCTTAATTGATTTCCTATAAGTTAGGTGCTTCGTGTTCATTTCTAATACAATGACTCATGCAGATGGGTGTTTTCAGACAAGGAAGCTGAGTCTCAGAGAGGTTAGATACTCTCCATGCCACAAGGCTTCCAGATGGCAGAGCTTGGATTTAACACCACAGGTCTGTGCTCTTTTTCTCTCCACCCAACTTTAGCCCTTATGTCTTTAACAGGTGAATTGCTTCAACAAATCAAAGCCTCACAGTGATTAAAGACGGGATCGTTCAGAGCCACTGCCTCTGAACCCGACTGTTTCAGAAGATGAGTAACAAAAGCCTGATATCACTTGAAAGATCAAAGTTGTTTGAACTGTGCTCATGTATGAAATTGTGGAGCAATTATGCTCTAACTTTGTAAAATCTATTGTTATAATTCCAGAGGTTGGATAATCATCATTACAAGCAATCACAGTTAGAGACAGCTCAGCACCGCAGGGCTGGGCCTCCATGTGAGCCATCGTCAGAATAGCTACCCCAAGTAATTATCTCCATAGTAAAAGACACGGGGATTCAAATCTTTCCCACTTGCACAGAGCGCTGCAAAATTTGAGAGAAGGCAGAGTTGCAAGATGTACCTGGAAAAGCCAAGCGATTTAATCAGTCTGCACTTTGCAAACTCCATGGCTGGGCACAATTAACCTAATACAGTTCAGCCTCCAACTCTGATTTTAGAAAAGGTGACCCCATACCAACATCCCAGAGTATGGTAAACAATTATTAACGGAGCACCAGTAACACCGTGAACATCACCATCACCGTGAACATCCAGTTGCACCATGTACTACTGGACCCAAAGTTTTGGGCTTAACACAACTCACAAGGCTGATTTTCACTTAACTGCTCCCCATAGCCTCCCATACTCCCCTACCCCAAAGAACCAAGGGGCAGCCATCTGTCTGCTTCCAACCAACCCCTGTCTCCTCCCTTCCTGTCCTCTTTTTCTTTCTCCGTTAGTCCCCAAACCTCTGCTTTGCAATAAACATCACTGACTCCGGATGGAGTTATCTCCTGACAATGTGACTTGGAACCTAAAGGCAGGCCTTTACCATCAAAATGGATGGATGTCACATAACCTAATAATCACGGAGAAACACCAGTCCTCTGACTTAACATGGTATCATATATTTTTTTATCTGTGAAGTGGGCGTGATTCCTGCCTGTATTCCTCTGGCTATGTGGGTGAGGGAAAGAGTAG